GTTTTTTTGGGGGGGGGGGGGGGTTTTGTTTTTATTTTGGGGGGGGGGGGGAGGGGGAGCGTGAATCACGCAGCACGTGACCACTTTCAGTCAGGGCGTCAGGGTCTGTCTTACTCGCACTATCCATTGCCTCCTTCTACAGGAGATGTGCATGAATACGTAAGTGAAAGTAAACTACACTGCTGTAAAAGTCTCACGCGTTGTTGCGCCTTCCGGTGTGGCTGTAGCCCACTGGTTGTGTTGCTGAACTGCTGTTGTTTCTGCTGTTGGCCAAGCATCCCTCTCTCTCACCGTTCATGTTGTTACCGATCCAACATAGTTGTTTCATCTTATGCATAGTAGTATTGAGCATACTGCTGTGTAGAGCCCTGACGGGGGGAGAACTTTAACCTTTGTAAGTTTGCCTCCCAAGATTTGGAGTTTATAACACCGTATACACACATCTCGTTAGTGGAAGAGGTATATATAGAGGTTCATCATCAGTGAGTGCTTCTTTTAAATAACACAGAAGAAGAAGAAAAACGCGCCAGGCATCATCACAGCTCTCGCACCATCTGACACACTCTATGTAGACCTGATGTGTCTTGTTGTTGTGAAGAGAAGATAGATGTGGAATTTCGTTGTTTCAACTCATTCCTTCCCCGAGCCGAGCAAGAGCAGGGGCACGGGGGAGGGGGTCTAAGCCGTTACAGTCTCGGGGACAACAAAGTCTAGACAATATCTGTCGTGCCCGCCTCCTCAACCCACAAGAAACTCACTTGCTCGTCGGTGCCCGTGAGAAGAAAAGACAGCAAACGAAGACGATGGGGGCGGTCCGACTGTTAAAACTGAAAGGGTGCACTTGACGGTGATCCATAGTTACTACGTGTTCGGCCCAGCTAGTAGTACATGTATGTATGTGTAAATGTTGCTGCACACCTAGACTACAACAGTAACCATCCGCATTGATGTGCAATGCACGTGCCTGATATACATACCGACCCGCGTGCCGTCTGGATACATACATCACATGCACACTCGGTAGACTAGTCCACCAATCAATAGCGATTTGTGAATTGTGAGAAGTTACAACACAACGGCACGGCCTCTCGCATATACGGCGCGTCGATTCAAACCCTTACATCTACACCCCGACACGAAATGAAAACAAAAAAATACTAAGAGCGAAACGCTTGTTCCCCATTTTACACCAAAACTACTAACAGACGCTATGAGCGCCGATCCACTGGGGAACGACAACAGGCAGTAGACTGCAGGTTGAGATAAAAACAATGATAGATAGTACGACAAAACCAACCGCAACTAACAACTATCCTGCCAATACCCAGAGCAGGTCAGGTGTGGACTATTCGTCGTGAACTCCCGAAAGCAGACAGACGAGGAAATCTCTCCGGACTATACACACACACGCACTGCTACGAGCCAGAAAATTGCGTCCAGCTACATACATAAAACCGATGCCTTTCCGCACTCCATCCGCACGCTCGTCGTGTGAGAATGAGGACGAAACAAAACCCAACGTCCCCCGTTCTTTTCCGTCTTTTCCCTCCCTCTTCACGACACACACCCCTTTCATGAACACCACCAAAATTAATTTACTTCCTCCTCCGGTGCGCGCATCCTGCTGTGCCGACTACTTACTTACCGGTGGAAGGACATGTAAGCATGCATGCGTGTTTGAGTGCCAATCGTTCCACAAGTACAACTAATATTGAAAGTGCTCAGAAATAATTTCGAACACCCGGGAGCCTCATTGGCCGATCGACCTCGCCTCCGATCCTGAGAAGGAAAAATCCTCTGCCAATCAGCCACCATTCCTAACGGCCCGCCCCCCGAATACCGCATAAATGGCACACATTGCGCATAATGAACAATTCTACTCTTGAAACAGTTACACTCTCCTTACGCTAAGTTCACAAACTCTCCGATAAACGGTAGACCCCCCCCCCCCCACCT